AACAGGTTGCAGAGCAGCAGCTAACCCTTTTCTTGACAAAACCCACAATATCCCCTGGTTTGTCTAGGAGTATATTATTTTATATCTGTTTTCTTTGCATCCACCTGGTTAGCATTCATTTTTACCCTCAAAAGTGCTCCACTTCAGAAAACACCTTGCCTGTTCTTTGTACTTATAATCAATCATAGAAGAATTTTTTTAAATGCACCAATACTAGGTAGTTTTATGCAAATAACTTCAAAAATGTAAAGAGAATTATTGTGCCATATATATTATTTCAGAGAGTAGTAGATATGATGGAAAACTTTCCAATAGTTTGCTTTATAACAGAAATAGCCCTAAGACTATTACAGTACAAGGACTGCACAAATAAAAATTAGTACAGATCAATCTATGTTTATTGGCTTTTGTAGCATGACTGGACATAAGAAGCAATTGTTCAAATAAAAAAATTCATCTTTGGTTCTGTTATTTGTGTCTGATTTTCCTCTGTGCTGGCTTCTTCCCAGGGCAGGCACTGTATTAGTCTGTTCTCACACTGCTATAAAGAACTGCCCATGACTGGGGAATTTATAAAGGAAAAAGGTTTAGTTGACTCACAGCTCTGCATGACTGGGGAGATCTCAGGAAACTTACAATCACAGTGGAAAGGGAAGCAAACATGTCCTTCTTCACATGGTGGCAGGAGAGAGAAATGCCAGGCAAAGGTGGGGAAAGTCCCTTGTGAAATCATCAGATCTCATGAGAACTCACTCACTATCATGAGAACAGCATGGGGGAACCACCCCCATGATCTATCTAATCACCTCCCACAGGGTCCCTCCCCCAACATGTGGAGATCACAATTCAGATTACAATTCAAGATGAGATTTCAGTGGCGACACAGTGCCATATCCTATTAGGTACTCCTCATGTGTATATCAGTTACCTAATACATACCAGTAAGCTAAGTATTCATGCTGAACACTATCCATATCAATGTTGTCTCTCATGTTAATAATAAAACTTAGTCTAAACCTTCTTTAGTCTGCTCATTGATCACAACAAATATCTAATGGGTGGTAAAGACAAAGGAAAAGCCAACAGCCCCTCTGAAATCTTGGTCAATCAAAAGTTTCAATAGCAGCAATTCTCATTAAAACAAGACAGAAAGGTGAATTATAAGGAGCTTAGGAAAGGACTTTTTTTTTTCTGAATGAAGGCAGATTTGTATAAGAATATTCACATGACTATCCACATTTAAATATTTTGTTCATGTCTCTATAATATCCCACACTGCCTTTCATCATGGAAATTTTGTAGAAGGCTGTCAGCTGTACTGCATTTTTAGCTGTTTAAGAGACCATGGTGCACTGCTTTTATCACCCAGAATTCCCTTTGCATAGGGGCAGCCAATACATGTTTGTGCAACAATTGAATGAATTCATCATCATGTTCTCCAATCTCTCCTGTCTTCAAAAGTTTGATATTTAAAGCTTTCTCCCATTTGACTCTTATTTCGTGCAGCATCCATACGAAGATCCTGATAAGAGCTCTAATTAGGCCATGTTACGTTCTGCTTAAAAACAGAAACAGCTTCTGGGAAAGAATGCTTTCTTATTTAATAAGTGAGGGAGGTCTGCTAAAATTATATCATTAGCTAACAAACCAGTTGGTATCATTCTTGTTTTCACAATGCAGGTCAGTGTTTGCAGGTCTTAAAAATGTCTTCACCAGTATTTCTTAATGTTTTTGACCTATGGACCAGAAGTCAGACAGTGGGGCAGCCACCAGGACCACACTGTCTGGACCCCAGACATTCTGCTCTGCTGGCTGCTCACCCCACAAGTCCTGAGATGCCCCTTGGGATCCAGCGGGAGCTCTGGTTGTCTGGTGGCAGACTTACATCCCAGCGGCTCTAGAGACCCAGGTTGCTTCCTCCACTGACTTTGCCACAATTGTGCCTTAACGTATTTCTGCTCCCGTGCCTCCCGCTCGCTCCACACTAACACTTTCTCTGTGCTCTGCCTCACGAGCTCCACCACTTGCCCTCTCCCTGCATTATGTCTGCTCCTGCCCACCACCTTTGTACATCTCCCATTTATATTCCCAGGGAAGATTTCAGTGGGGGTCACTTGGGGTAATTTGTCCCTAGTCCCCTGCGTAGATGTCTGCCTTTGGTTCAGGCACCAATCCTTGGTCCGCTCGGTTGTGGGAGGGTGGTAGGAAGCATGGGTTAGCAAACAGCTTTCAGGTTCTGTTAGTAACATTGTTAATCAGCAGTAGCTAGAGATGAGTTACCTCTATAACCTGACACCAAGTGCACTGTTATAACTTTCAAAAAGCCAAGACTCAATTCTGCCTCCCATGTATTTATTAGTTGTCAGGCTCCAAAGCAGATAGACATTGCATTCTGTGGTCCAGTGGAGTCCAGAAACGTGTCCATGGGTACAAGTGGCAAGCCCAACCGTACTGATGCACAGCAGGTGAACACCAAAACTGGGGCTTCGCCTGGGAGAGTGCTTGGCCTCACTCAGAAAAGAATTTAAGAGCAAGCTGGCAGTAAAAGAAAGTTTGTCAGAGCAACAGTGTACAGCAAAATGGCTATTCCACAGAGCAGGGCTATCTCATAGACAGAGCAGGGCTATCTCATAGACAGGGCAGGGCTATCCCATAGACAGAGCAGGGCTATCCCATAGACAGAGCAGGGCTATCCCATAGACAGAGCAGGGCTATCTCATAGACAGAGCAGGGCTATCCCATAGACAGAGCAGGGCTATCCCATAGACAGAGCAGGGCTATCTCATAGACAGGGCAGGGCTATCCCATAGACAGAGCAGGGCTATCCCATAGACAGAGCATTTGGTTGTCCATTGACTTAGCAGGAGGATAACCTCTGAGTTTATGTGAGTGTGGATGTGTAGCGGGCCTACATCTCTTGAGTATTAGCCTCTCTGTTGTCTATTTTCTTATTCCCTTTTTCTCGTTTGTTGGTACCTAATAAGCACTTCTAGCTAACATCAAACTGAAAGCAAAGTCCCAAAGACTCTTTAACCCAAATGTGAGTTGTCAAGACTCAGAAACTTGGTTCCTGAACAGGTTTTTTGCCTCAAAGACTAAGTCATCCTGATACAGGAGGAAAAAAAAAAAACACCAAAAACAACAGATACAGGGTTGAGAAATGAGCCACAGAGAGAAAGAGGGAGCTGTGTTCTTGATTTACAGGATTTCTGTTCCCAATGACCAGTGAGTGGTTCAGTGGCCTAGTGTGGGTGGCCCAACCCCACATCACCTGGGGACTCCTTGCCCTCCATAGATGGGATACTTGTAGGTAAGACCCTTGGGCAGAGGCTGGCACTTGGGCAGCTTGTGAAGACATGGGGGCCCAAAAGCAAACTTCCATCCCTTGGCCAAGGTGGAATAGACAGAATTGGCTAAAAAATCTCCCATGGGCTGTGGCCATGGTGGACTCACTAACATTGTTACAATAGTTTATTTCTAATACTTGAAGTTTAAGGTGCTAAAGGACAATTTGTATTGCGTAGAATAATTGACACCTATTTAGAGTGAGAGGAAGCAGGTAGGTCTCCCTCAGGCTTCCGGGCCAGGAAGCGGGTCAATGATAATGGGTACCCAAATTTAATCAGTTCAACTAAAAAACATCTACTGTGTGCCAGGCAGTGTGACTCATTCAGGAAATATGAAGAAGAGGGTGGGAAGTGACTAGTAGAAGAGAAATAGAACCCTGAAACCAAGTTATGCCAAAACTAAGTGCTTCATTGACTCCATTAACCAGGGCCTTTGAAATTGTTTTAACCATATTTTTAATTGGCACCCAGTACATACATATAAATATAACACTAAAGATATCTTTCTCCTCACTAAGTCTCTAAGGCTCAGATAGTTTTATTAATAAGTTCTACTAAACTTTTAAGAAATAATTAATTCCTGCTTTAGATAAGTTATTTAAAAAAGACCAAAACCTGCGCCTTTTCTTTGAGACAGGGTTTCACTCTGTCACCTAGGCTGGAGTGCAGTGATGTGATCAGAGGTCACTGCAACCTCGACCTTCCAAGCTCAAGTGATCCTTCTATCTCTCATCCTCCTGAGTAGCTGAAACAACAGGCACACTATGCCTGGCTAATTTTTGTATTTTTTTGTAGAGACAGGGTCTCACTATGTTGCCTAGGCTGGTCTCAAACTCCTGGACTCAAGCAATTTGTCCGCCTCTGCCTCCCAAAATACTAGGATTATAGGCATGAGCCACCGTGCGTGTTCCCACTTTTCATTCTATAAATAGATAAGGTCGATCCACCCCAACAATTATAGGCATAGTTCATTTTGAACACAGATGTAAATATCTTAAATAAGATAGAGTTAAGAAAACCCAAGTGTATGATAAAAAGTCACAATAATTAAATAAGACTTACTCATGAATGCAAGATGACACACCATCATAAATATATCAACAGAATTTATTACATCAGCTAAGAGTAAAGTATAAAACGCAGAATTATTTGAATTGATGCAGAAAAACTTCTTGATCAATTCAACAGATATGTATAATAAAACTGGTTAACTGGAAATAGAAAGGAACTTCTCCAACTTGTTAAAGTTGTCTACTCTAAAAGTTATGTTAAATGTTACACAGATTAGGGGCATTTTTAACATTTTCTCTGAAATTGTAAATGATGTAAAGATGCCCATCATCACTCCTGTTAATTAACACTTGTATGTAAGCTCGCCACCAACTACAAGGAAAAATGAATAAGTAGGAGAGGTAAGACTTGAAAGGAGACAAAACTGTTATTATTTGCAGATAATACAATCATCTGTCCAAAAAAATCCAACTATTAGAACTAGTAAGATAATTGAACAATTCCTTTAGATAAGAACAACTTAAGAAATCTTGGTATCTTCTACACTGACAATGCAAACTAGGAAATATAATAAAATATCATTACAAATACCAGTCAAAACTAGAGAATTTTAGGAATTAATCACTAATCCATAGAAACTTTATAGAAAAAAATTTTATTTATTTATTTTTTTGGCTGAGCACAGGGGACTTTATTGATGGTACAAGACAAGGTGGGACTTCCTAGGCCCCTTCCTCTTCAGGGGGTCTGTATGGAAACTGTGAGGAGGGGAGATTCTCACTGTGACTGGGGACTGAGTGTGTCAGGGACTCCCCATCAGTGAGGGCCTTGCTCTTCCTCTTGTGCTGTCACTGGGGCTGGTGGTTCAGGGGTCTTACTCCTTGGAGGCCTTGTGGGCCATGAGGTCCACCACCCTGTTGCTATAGCCAAATTCACTGTCATACCAGGAAATCAGCTTGACAAAGTGGTTGTTGAGGGCAATGGCGGCCACAACATCAAAGGTGGAAGAGTGGGTGTCGCTGTTGAAGTCGAAGAAGACAACCTGGTGCTCGGTGTTGTAGCCCAGGATGCCTTAGAGAGGGCCCTCTGACGCCTGCTTCACCACCTTCTTAATGCCATCATATTTGGTAGGTTTTTCCAGATGGTAGTTCAGGTCCACGACTGACGTGTTGGCAGTGGGGACACAGAAGGCCATGCCGGTGAGTTTTCCATTCAGCTCAGGGATGACCTTGCCTACAGCCTTGGCAGTGCCAGTAGAAGAAGGGATGATATTCTGGAGAGTCCCACCACCGTCATGCCAGTTTCCCAGAGGAACCATCCACAGTCTTCTGGGTGGCAGTGATGGTGTGGACTGTGGTCATGAGTCCTTCCACAATATCAAAGTTGTCATGGATGATGTTGGCCAGGGGTGCTAAGCAGTTGGCAGAGCAGGAAGTATTGCTGATGATCTTGAGGCTGTTGTCATACTTCTCATGGTTCATGCTCATTACCAACATGGGGGCATCAGCAGAGGGGGCAGAGATGAAGACCCTTTTAGCTCCTCCCTGTAAGTGAGCCCCAGCCTTCTCCATGGTGGTAAAGATGCCGGTGGACTCCACAATGTACCCAGCACCAGCATCACCCCATTTGATCTTGGAGGGATCTCGCTCCTGGAAGATGGTGATGGGATTTCCATTGATGACAAGCTTCCCGTTCTCAGCCTTGATGGTGCCATGGAATGTGCCATGGGTGGAATCATATTGGAACATGTAGACCATGTAGTTGAGATCAATGAAGGGGTCACTGATGGTGACAATATCCACTTTACCAGTTAAAAGTAGCCCTGCTGACCAGGCACCCAATACGACCAAATCCGTTGACTCTGACCTTCACCTTCACCACGGTGTCTCAGGGATGTGGCTGGCAGTGCGAGAGGAGATGAGGCTGTCTGCTGAATTGGAGGAGGAAAGAGCTGAAAAAAAACATTAATGAGTGACACAGAAAGTTCAATGGAGAGACAATCCACGCTCTTAGATGGGACATATTTGTATTATAAAGATGCTGGTTTTCCCCATATCAAAGTATGAATTCAAGACAATTTCAATAAAAATTCCAGTTGAATTGTTTTGAGGAAGGAAAATACATTACCATAATATTTATATGAAAGTTTACAGGTACACATAAAAGTAAGTACAATTTGAAATAGAAGCACAAATAGATGAGACCTGCCCTACCAATCTATGAAGACATATTACAGTGTTAAGATTTTAAAGAATTTGTATTTTACCAAGAACAGATAAATAATCCAGTGGGACAATATGTTAAGAGACAGATTCCTGTATTTATATAGGCATTTAGCATATAATCAACCTGGCAACCCAAGTCAACAAAAAGTAGATTATTCAGTATTTGGTGTTTGGAAAATTGGCTCAATATATGGTGAAAAATATGAGAGAATTCCTACTTAACACCATACTCAAAGGTGGACTTCAACTGGATTAAATACACAAATGTGCAAGATTAAACTCTAAAGTTCACACAAGATAATGTAGGGGATTATGTCAGGCTGTTCTTGCATTGCTATCAAGAAACTTAAGATTGGGAAATTTATAAAGAAAAGAGGTTTAATTGGCTCACAGTTCTATAGGCTGTACAGGAAGCTTGGTGCTGGCATCTGCTGAGCTTCTTGGGAGGCCTTAGGAAGCTTACAATCATGGCAGAAGGTAAAGAGGGATCAGGCACATCAGATGGCAAAAGCAGGAGCAAGTGAGAGAGAGAGTGCGGGGAGGTGCCACATGCTTTTACGTGACAAAATCTCATTAGCACTCACCATCAGGAAGACAGCACCAAGCCACAAGGGCCTGCCCCCATGACCTGACCACCTCCTGCCAGGCCCCACTTCCAGCATTGGAGGTTATAATTCAGCATGAGATTTGGGTGGGGACAAATATCCAAACTATATCAGGGATTATCTTTGTGACATAGAGCTGGGGACAAATTTCTTAAATCAAATCTTAAAAACACAATTTTTAGGCAAAAAAAAATTGATGAATTTATTACATTCTGGTGGTGTTACAGTCAAAGTTGACAGATCAGAAAGATGTTTGTAATATCCAAAACCCTCGGTATCTAGCATAGATAGAATTTCCTTCAACTGACCAAGGAGGCAATGATAGAAGTTGCTGTGGTGTAAATGTTTGTTCCTTTCAAAACTTGTTAAAATTTAGTTGCCTTTGTAACAGTATTAAGATGTGGAACCTTTAAGACATGACTATTTGTAACAGTATTAAGATATGAAACCTTTAAGACATAACTAGGCCATGAAGGCCCCCCACTCATTGGTGTAATTGTTGTTTTTATAAAAGAATGAGAAGTTCAGCCCCCTTTTGATCTCCCTTGCCATCTTGCATTCCCCCAGATGATGAAACAGCAAGAAGGTCCTTGCTAGCATCTTGATATTGGACTTCCAGTCTCCAAATCTGTGAGCCAATACATTTCTGTTCATTATAAATTACCCAGTCTCAGGTATTCTGTTACAGCAGCACAGAGTGGACTAAGACAGAAATTGGTATAGAGAGTGGGATTGTTTCTATAACAAACACTTGAACATGTGGAAGCAGCTTTGGAACTGGATAATGGGCAGAGGCTGGAAGAATTTGGAGCATCAGATTAGAAAAAGCCTATATTGCTGAAAATGAGCATTAAGAATGATTCTGGTGAGGGCCTAAAAAATGAGAGCTGTAGGGAAAGTCTGAAACTTCTTAGAGATTACTTAGATAATCTCTAAGTAGTTGTGATCAGAATGTTGGTAGAAATATGTATGGTAAGGCAATTCTGATGAAGTCTCAGATGGAAATAAAGAACAAGGTATTGAAAACTAGAGAAAAGGCTATCCTTGTTATAAAGTGGCAAAGAATTTGGTTGAATTGTGGTCATGTCCTAGGACTTCATGAAAAGCAGAAGTAGAGGGCAATGAATTAGGAAGTCTGGCAGAAGAAATATCTAAGCAGTAAAATATTCAGAATACTGCATGGCTTCCTTTAACTGCATGTAGGAAAATATGAGAAGAAAAAATGATTTAAAGATGGAATTTATAATTAAAAGGGAAACAGAAGTTAGGGATCTGAAGGATTCTCAGCTTGATCCTAATAGAGAATGAAAGAGCATTTTCAGGTGAGGAAATCAAGGCTGTGGCCAAGTGGCCATTTGATAAGGAGATTAGTATGAACAGAATGAAGCCAAGGCTATTCATCAGGACAACGGAACAATGACCCCAAAGGTACTTCAGAGACCACCAGTACTGCCCCTCTTATCCCAGGTCCAGAGTGCCAAAATCTGGGACAAGAAAAATGGCAAAAGAGAGACCTAGAGTGCCTTCAGGAACTTGAAGTTCCCAACCGAAGGTCACGTTAAGTCTCTACTTTTGGCATTCAGAAACAGTGCTCTTTAGCCACTCAAGCTGTTGGTAAAGCAGGCCCAGATGTGGCTTGGGCCACAGCTGCAGAGGGTGCACCAGCAAACCTTGGCTGTGGCCACATGGTGCTAGTTCTGCAGATTCATAGAATGCATGAGCTGTGGCAGCATGGCTTCCACCAGCTAGAATTCAAAGAAGGTTGCAAACAGCCTTGGGGACCAGACAGAGATGTTGCAGGGATAGAACAACTACAGACAGCCCCCACGAGAGCAATGACCAGAGAAACTGTGGGGCCTAAACTGCCACAGAGAGTCCTCACTAGGACAAAGCCTAGTGGAGCTGTGGGGTCAGAGCCACCCCTGAGACTCTAGACCTGTAGAGCTCCCATTGTGAAACATCAGCATAGGAGAGTGAAAGACACAAGACTCCAACCTGTGAGAGCTGCAGGGTGGACTGAGCCCAACAAAGCTGTTAGAATAAGGCTATCTGACGTGCTGGGGCCCAATCCCAAACCTCCTCACCATCACTGTGTCCAGAAAGCAGGACATAGAATCAAACAAAGATTATTCTCAAGCTGTGAGATGTAGTATTGTTTGCCCTAACGGAGTTTGAACATGCTTACGACTTGTTACTCTTTTCTTCTTTCTTATTTCTCGTGTTTGAAATGGGAATGTCCCCCTTGAAAACCAGCACAAGACAAGGATGCCCTGTCTCACCACTCCTATTTAACATAGTATTGGAAGTTCTGGCCAACACAATCAGGCAAGAAAAAGAAATAAAGCATATTTGAATAGGAAGAGAAGAGGTCAAACTGTCTCTGTTTGCAGATGACATGATCCTATACCTAGAAAACCCCATCATGTCAGCAAAAAAAGCTTCTTAAGCTGATCAGCAACTTCAGCAAAGTCTCAGGATACAGAACCAATGTGCAAAAATTGCAAGCATTCCTATACACCAACAACAGACAAGCAGAGAACCAAATCATGAATGAACTCCCATTCACAATTGCTACAAAGAGACTAAAATAACTAGGAATACAGCTAACAAGGGAAGCAAATAACCTCTTCAAAAAGAACTACAAACCACTGCTCAAGGAAATTAGAGAGCACACAAACAAATGGAAAAACATTCCATGCTCATGGACAGGAAGAATCAATATCATGAAAATGGCCATACTGCCCAAAGTAATTTATGGATTCAATGCTATTCCCATTAAATTACCATTGACATTCTTCATATAAATAGAAAAAAACTACAATTCATATGGAACCAAAAAAGCCCATACAGCCAAGACAATTTTAAGGAAAAAGAACAAACCTGGAGGCATCACACTACCTGAATTCAAACTATACTACAAGGCTACAGTAACCAAACCAGCATTGTACTGGTACAAAAACAGACACATAGACCAATGGAACAGAATAAAGAACTCAGAAATAAGACCACACATCTACAACCATCTGATCTTTGACAAATCTGACAAAAACAAGCAATGGGGAAAGGATTCTCTATTTAATAAATAGTGCTGAGAGAACTGGCTAGCCATACACAGAAAATTGAAACAGGACCCCTTCCTCATACCTTATACAAAAATTAACTCAAGATGGATTAAAGACTTAAATGTAAAACCCAAACCTATACAAACCCTAGAAGAAAATCTAGGCAATACCAGCATGGACAAAGATTTCATGGTGAAAATATCAAAAGCAACTGCAACAAAAGCAAACATTGACAGCTGGGATCTAACTAAACTAAAGAGCTTCTGCACAACAAAAGAAACTATCATCAGAGTGAACAGACAACCTACAGAATGGGAGAAAATGTTTGCAATCTATCCATCTGACAGAGGTCTAATATCCAGAATCTACAAGAAGCTTAAACAAATTTACAAGAATAAAACAAACAACACCATTAAAAACTGGGCAAAGGACATGAACACACACTTCTCAAAAGAAGACATTTATGAGGCCAACAAACATATATACATAAAAAGTTCAACATCAGTGATCATTAGAGAAATGGAAATCCAAACCACAATGCGATACCATCTCACACCAATCAGAATGGTGATTATTAAAAAGTCAAGAAACAACACATGCTGGGAGGCTGTGGAGAAACAGGAACAGTTTTACACTGTTGGAAGGAATATAAATTATTTCAACCATTGTGGAAGACAGTGTGGTGATTCCAGCATTAGGTTGCACTGACACTGGAGATAAAAATCTATTCCTTTTACTACATTAAAATCCTTAATTATTTGAAAACAGCATTAAGCTGAACATCACCAGTTTCTTTAACCTTTCCCTCACCCTGTTTGCTCACACCTGGACCTATATGAGTTGGCCAATGCCCTCCCACAGTGAGCCAGCAGACCCTACCACACTGTTCTGGGTGAGTACATTGGGATTAACATCTCCCTTGCTTCTTGAACTTCTTTTAATGTGGTCCAAGAGCAGACCCACTGGGTTTTTGCTCAGTGGATTATGCTAGAAATTCCTGGGAAATTTCAAAGTCTCTAAATTACAAA